AAGTATCTGGTCCTAGATCTTTACACACAAGTAGTTGGGGAATGGTTTGTCCATCAGATACACCTGAAGGTGAAGGATGTGGTCTTGTAAAAAATCTAGCTTTACTAACAGAAATAACAACTGATTCAGAAGTAAAACCTATTGAGATTTTATTAGAGAAATTTGGTGTTCAAAGAATAGAATTTTGTATTGGTAGTGATTTAGGTGATCAATCTAAATACATTGTTTTTTTAAATGGATCAGTCTTTGGGGTAATTTCAGAGCCTGAAATTTTAACTAAAATTTTTAGATCAACAAGAAGGAAAGGAAAAATAGATAAATATGTATCAATTTATTTGAATAAGACTGAAAAGGCTGTTTATGTTGCATCTGATAATGGAAGAATGTGTAGACCTTTGTTTATAATTGATCAGGAAAAGTTAAAGAAAATCAACTTTGAATTGTTGGAAAGAAAAGATAATTTTATTGATAATTTTGCAAAAAGAAATAGAGAAAGAAATTTTAAAGTTATTGAGCAGCTTGGATTATTATTTACAGAAAAGAGTCTAAAAGGAATGACTTTTAATGATTTATTAAAACGAGGCAAGGTGGAGTATTTAGATGTTAAGGAATCAAACAATTGTAAAATTGCATTTACATTGGATGATATCACGTGTGATACCACTCATTTGGAAATTTCTGAAATTTCCATTTTAGGAAATATTGTAGCATCTGTTCCATTCCCAGACCATAACCAGTCACCAAGAAATACATACCAGTGTGCAATGGGTAAGCAGGCTATTGGTCACATAGCAACAAATGTAAAGAAGAGATTTGATAATGCCATTTTGCAACTTAACTATACACAAAGACCATTAGCGGCTTCTAAAATACTGGATATTAATAAGTATAATTCTATACCATCAGGACTAAATGCCATGGTTGCAGTAATGAGTTATTCAGGTTATGATATTGAAGATGCTATAATATTGAATCAAGGATCAGTTGATAGGGGATTTGCTAGGGTAGAAGTTTATAAGACAATTAAAATTGAATTAAAAAAATTTAGCAATGGTGCCAATGAAACTATTTATAGTTCAGCAAAATCAAGTGGTTTAGTAGAAGTTGGGCAATTAGTTAAACAAGGAGATCCTTTAGTAGTAAAAATATCACCAGAAGACAAGAATATCATTACAATAAGACATAAGGGCAAACCTTGTTATATTGATAAAGTTTTACTTTCAAAGAGTGAGGATGAGAATATGATTAAAATAGTAACGAGAGAAACAAGGGTACCAGTTGTTGGTGATAAATTTAGTTCAAGACATGGACAGAAAGGTGTTGTAGGAGCTAAATTTCCACTTTCAGACATGCCTTTCAATGAACAAGGAATGGTACCAGATATAATTATGAATCCACATGGTTTTCCATCAAGAATGACTGTAGGAAAAATACTTGAATTAATTGGAGGTAAAGCAGGTGCTATTGTTGGTGAATATGCTGATGCAACACCCTTTAATGATAATGAAGTAGAAGATTTTTGCAATGTTTTAACTAAAAATGGATTTTCATATTCTGGTAAAGATATTTTTACAAGCGGTACAACTGGAGAACAATATGAAGCTTATATATTCTATGGACCTATTTTCTACCAGAGATTAAAGCATATGGTTGCAGATAAAATTCACTGCAGGTCAAGAGGACCAAGGGCTGTGCTTACTCGCCAACCTACAGAAGGTAGATCTAATGATGGAGGTCTTCGTTTAGGAGAAATGGAAAGAGATTGTTTAATAGGATATGGAGCAGGTTCTCTATTGAAGGAAAGGTTAATGTTTGCTTCAGATGTTTATAAAATATTTGTATGTAAAAAGTGTGGTATTATTGGTTATAAGAACTGTTGTACTATTTGTAATGCTAATGAAATATCACCTATTGAAATTCCTTATGCAGCTAAATTATTATTTCAAGAATTGATGGCTATGAATGTTTTACCAAAAAAAATTTTAAAAGACAAATAATAAATGACTTTATTAAACAATTTTATTGTTTTGATTCGTTTTGATTGGTCTTCTTTTGTTCATAAGCCAAAATAGACGTTTGTACA